GATTGTAGAACCAAGCAATGTGAATTCCTTGACAACCTCAATCTTTTCTCCATTTATCATGATTCTGCTTATTGGTCCAGTTGTGAGGATTTCTGTTTTCTTTATATTGAGGTGTAATCCATACTGCAGACTGTATTCTTCAATCTTCATCAGTAAGTGCCTCAAGTCATCCTCACTCTCAGCAAGCAAAGTTGTATCCTCAGAGGTAATCACTGTTATTTTTGAATACTTCCAGATGTTTTCTTTACACATAGAAACATAAACACGTGAATCTTCCTTTCTTTCTTTTTTGTTAGTTGCAATTGAATCAGCTCTGACTCACGGAACCTCCACATACAACAGAACAAAACGGTGCCAGGTGCACCATCTTCATGACAGTCGGCATGCACAAGTTCATTGTTTCAGCCACTGCATTCTAGTGCCTGAGGCTCATCTTCCCGCATTATATTGGACAACATTCTGCTGTAATCCATAAGGTTTTAAGAAGTAGATTGTCAGGACTTCCTTCCTGTCTGTCTGAGCCTGAAAGGTCTGCTGAAACTAGCCTACCATGGGTGACTCTACTGGTATTTGAAATACTGGTGGTATAGCTTCCAGCACCATCACAACACACCAAATACCCCAGTAAGACAGACTGACAGATGGGTGCATGTTGTTGTTGTTATATGCCATCAAGTTGGCCCCGACTCATAGCGACCCCTCCTTGGGTTTCCGAGGCAGTATCACTACGGAAGTTGGATTGCCCAACCTTCCTTCCGAGGAGTGGCTGGTGGGTTTGAACCGCCAGCCTTCTGGTTAGCGATGGGTGCATAGAGGAGTGTATTATGCACACTGCTCTACAGTTTGCCTTTTTCACTTAACAAGATACCATGGATCTCTTTTAATAGCAGTATTCCTTGTTAATGGCCGCAGGCAAGCATCAGCATTTCTTCAACCCATTTCCTACCATTTACTCTATTTTTCTGTTACAAACAATGCTTCAATGAAATTATACATATATTTATAGGACGGATTCTTGCCATTGAAATTCCTGAGTGGAGGGTAAGTGGTTTTTTAATTTTGAAAGATACAAAAAAGTACCCTCCTTAAAAGTTGTAGCAATTTACATTCAAACTAACAGTCCATTTTCCCAATTTTGTAAACATGGCTTATTATCTAACTTTTAAATCTTCCTTCAAAATTTGAAGGTAGTTATTAATTCACTTATTCATTAACATATTCATTCATTCATTCAATGTTTCTTATGCATCTTCCACATTCAGGCATTGTGCTAGGGGATGAGTTTCCTCTAATCCGGGAATTCCCATTCCTGATTCAGGATTTCAGATTCACCGGGAGAACTTGTTGCATGCCCAGAAGCGCTGGTTCTGGGGCCAGTACTGAGAGCTAGGAGGAGGGTTTTGTTATTGTTTTGTTTTTCAAACAGCTTCCCTGGTGATTTCTGCTCCTTTCTCTGAGCAAAAGAACTTTCTGGAAATCAAGCTTTCGGGGACATTCAGGATCCATTTTCCTAAAGTAAAAGAATGGGGAACTAGTCGACATGATTTAAACTATGAATGTCCAAGCGCCAAAATCTATTGTTGCTCCCCAACCTGCAAAAAACCAGCCCTGTGTCAGGAATAGATTTACAAATCTACCTCGCCCCGTTATCCTTGGTTAATGAAAATGCTGGAATCTCCTAATTTAGAAGTTTTCACAAATTAGTTGCCTTAACCGATTAACCCAGAGACCGAGAGACTAGGTAATCTAAACTTCAAACACTATACCAGAGGAACTGAGGCCAATGGGCATGCGCAAGACCCAGGCTCACGCATGCCCCTGGTGCCCAATAGCGTTCAGCGAAATTGAGAAGTTTGTGTTACCTGGGCTACACTCGGCTACTAGCCCCGCCTCTAGTTCCGCCCCTTACGATCAGGGCGGACATTGATTGGCAAGTGGCTGACTATTAAAACTTAAGCGACAGGCGTGCAGCGTTGACAGATTATCGGAAGTATAAAATTATCCAGTAACCCAGACTGTCTCCGAGCTTTCCTACCATCTTTCCAATGCGATGCCATGCAGACATATCAGGAGAGGAAACGGTTACCCTGAGTACAGGCCTCCAGATCGCCTCGCCTTTGCTTCAGCCACTGCATCTACCTGTGAATCCCAAAGGCTTGGCTCAAGGCATCACCTGGAATCATCTCCGATGAGGAACCGGGTCCTACCGGTTTAGGATGAAGGCATGTGTAAGGCTCGATATGGTACCTTCCTCAACTGCACCAGAGTACCCACCTCAGAGCCTGAATGGTCTATCTGCCAACTTGGAATGTGCGTTAAGAACAGAGGTTTGTGTTGGGGGCAGAGTATTTTCAGCTGCAGTAGAATGAGCACTGCCAGGGCCGAGACTTGTGTTCCAGTCTTGGCTCTGCTACTCATTGCTTCTGATCTAGTTTCTCCCGTAGGGGCCCTAGTTTACTCATGTATAAAACGGGAGTTGGACTGTGATAAATATGCTTAACACCAACAGTGTATCAGACATTGTGTGAGTACTGCAGACACAAAGAAATCTGAACCCCTGGAACTTGACAGAGTGGGAGACAAATATTTGAAGAAATGTCACACACACACACTGCTTTTAAGATGGTGCAGAGAAACTGAGGTGGAATTCCTCAGGCCTGAAAGAGTAGGAATTAGCTGGGTTAGGAGTCATGACCCAGAGAATAAGCATTGCAAAGATCTGTAGGGTGGGAAATGCCTTTCAGAATGCATGTTTAACAGGACATTTGAACAGTCAAAAGCAGTCAAGAACCTTAAGCAACATAAATAACTTGGTAGCTCTGAAAGCCCAGAATTGTTTCAGCCATCCCATGAAATTTAAGGCCCCTGGGCCTGTCTTAACATGAGACTCTGAAAAAGAAACTTGACATAATGTCTAGCATTTAGCAAACAATAGATTAGGTGCACTTCATTCAGTGTAAAACCAGGGTCACAGGAGCCTTTGAATTCATTCTTCTAGCATGTTTTTCTTGCTCTGCTCAAGCCTTTGTTCTTAAAAGTATTTCCTTTATATTATCCCAATCCTTAATTTTTTTCCTGCCCTTCTCTCAATACATTTGAAAAAATATGAAGTGGTTCAGTAGTGAAATAGATTGTAAAGTGAATCTATTTCTACTCCATGCTACTTTTAAGTTTCACACAATACTCTGGGTTCTACTTTTACCTACTTGGTGTAACTGATAACTTAAAAGTTAATTTTTCCCACCCATTACTTTAGTATTGCTGTGAAAATCAACAAGCGTTTGGTGAGGAACATCACACATATATATACTAGGTACAGGGATATCTCAGGTATTGAAGGTTTGGTTCCAGAGCACAATAAAGTGATTATCACAATGAAGCAAGTCGACACAAATTTTTGGTTTCCCAGTGCATGTAAGTTATATTTACGCTATATTGTAGTCTGTTAAGTACAACATCATTATGAAAAAGTAAGTACCAAAATTTGACAGACATTAAATTAGCACATCATTGGAAAAAATGACATTAGACTTGCCACAAACCTTTGTTAAGAGACATATCTCTGTGAAGCAGGATGAAACAAGGTATGCCTGTATGTCTTAACACTAGGAATGCAGCAGCCGAACAATCTACTGTGAAGAGGCTCAGCACAGCTCAGAATTTCTTAAGGCTGCATGAGGGAATTACTGACCAGTCTTTCTAAATCTGCTCTCTACTAGACCTCGCCACCAGTGATTCCTCCTTATCAGTAACCCGGACAAGATGTCTGCTCTAATCCTCCCTCCTCCAGCCCCAGTGCAGGTCTCAATGCTGTCTTAGTGTAGTGTCAGGGTTGTGTTCCCATTTGGAGATGGTGGCCAAAAAAATTCAGCTCATGGATTACAGCAAAAGGAAGATGTTAAAAGCCACTGTTGCAGAGGTGAGACCATCTTTGCAGACCACATCCCCAAATATTGCTAGTAACAGCAGCAAAGAGTTCAGCTTTTTATTCAACACGTTACAAAAGGGGTTTAGTCAAAAAGACCAAAACCCATGTCATCATCAGATTCTTCAGACTCTTCTTTCTTCGCTTCCACTTTCTTCTCTTCAGCTAAAAAGAGTTAAAATCACATCTCAGTATTTTGAAGCTCTAAAGGTTAAACTCCAGACCCCCAAAATTACATAGGAAAAATCACTCCCCAACTTCATTCAGCACCATTGGGCAATGCCTCAGGTTTTACAGTGATCATGACTTTACAACTGTTTGTTGTTCTCCACCCTCCCTCCAATAGAAAAACTCAAGTTTCCTACCTGGGGCAGCAGTGGTGGAGGGGGCAGGTCCTCCCGCTGGAGCAGCACCAGCTGCTGGGGCAGGCCCACCAGCCCCTACATTGCAGATAAGGCTCCCAATGTTGACGTTGGCCAGGGCCTGCAACACACACATGCATAAATCACTCAGTTCTGTTCCTCCTTATATCGCTCAATCAACAACAAAAATATATTGCACCTGTTTCCATGTTACAGTGATCTACTGGTTCCTTCTCCTAAGCTGAAGTCACCTTACATTTTGTCTGCTAGTGACAAATTTTTGGTTTGGATTTTTATTAACAAGGCTGACTTTCCCCTACCGATAGGTAGTATCTAAATAAGCTGTTTTAGTTTGTTGGTAGGGAATTCAAGTTTCCTTCAACATTCAAGCATGGACTCTAAGTTCCACATCTCCTCTTAACAGAAAACTCAATTATGCAAGGCTCAACACAAAAGAGGTAGAGTCTATAAGAATAGCCACTGAAGTTTCACTTGTCAGAGATTTAAGTAATCATAACCAGTACTCAAAACACCTTGGCAGGAACCATTTTCATTAGTCTCTGATATCCCTAACATTAAGAGGTCAATAAAATTCAATTTGTTAAACCACAGATACAGGGTTGCTATGAGTTGGAATTAGCTAGATACACACATCAACATACTGGGAGGATTCGCCTGCAATAACGTACGTGACCCATTTGGAAAATTACCTGGCTAAGATTTGTTTACTTTGGTTTCACAAAAGAGGAAAGAAAAAACAGAGTCTAAGATGAAGAGAAAGCCACACAAAAGCATGCGAAACTGAAAGCTCAACGTAAGTATAAATGCATAACTTGAGGGGCGCTCCAGTGTAATATGGGTTCTTCTGGCACTTTCTTAAAAGTTCCTTGGTGTGCCTATCCTCCCAAATAAATTAGTCAACAATGGGTCTTCCCAACTATGCTTCAAGTCACCATCACCTTACCTTTGCAAACAAGCCAGGCCAGAAAGGTTCAACATTGACACCCGCTGCCTTAATGAGGGCATTGATCTTATCCTCCTAGAACAAAATGCCAATTGGTCAGAGAACAAAATGCAGCTTTCCTGAATGTTTCCAAAACAATGCCAATTATTACTAAGCGTTTTTCCTAGAGAGGTGAGAGCCAGGACATTATGCTGAGTGAAACAAGTCAATCACAGAAGGACAAAATATATTATCAATTCGTTGTTGTGGAAGGTCAAGGAAAGGTTTATATATGGAGGGAAA